AACCATGGTCTATGACTGCCATGAATTTCAGACAACTGGTAAAGCAGGGCTGAGGGAAAAGTTCCTATTTTCTAGGACTCAGAAGAAGAGACAACTTAGAGAAAATACTTGTCTTTTCAGAGCCTTAATGTCTAGGAAAGGGTCTCTGAGTAAGCAAGCACGCACTTGAACACAGCAAACCTCAACAGGTACAAAAGAATTGGAGTAACCCCTGGATCTTATCAGACCACCATGGTCCAAAGTTAGAATTCAACAACAACACAAATTGCAGAGAAACTCTACAAACTCATGGAAATTGAACAATGCGCAATTGCACCATTCCTGGGTCAAAGAAGAAATAAAAAAGAAATTAAAATCTTCCTAGAATTCAATGAAATATAGACACCTCATCCTCAAAGACAGACATTACCTCAGAGTTAAGGGTTGGGAAAAGATTTTCCAATCAAACGGAACCAAGAAACAAGCGGGGGTAGCAATCCCAATATCTAACAAATTAGACTTTAAAATAAAATCAAAAGAGATGAAGCAGGTCATTTCATACTTATCACAGGAGAAATCCACCAGGATAAAGTCTCAATTCTGAACATGTATGCCCCAAATACAAAGGCATCCACGTTCATAAAAGAAATATCACTAAAACTCAAATCACATATAAAACCTCACACACTTATAGTGGGAGACTTCAACACCCCATTCACCACCCGACAGGACTACCAGACAGAAACTTAACAAAGAAACAAAGGAACTAATAGAAGTTATGACCCAATTGGGTCTAACAGACATCTATAGAACATTCCATCCAAACACAAAAAAGAGAATATTTTTAAATGTTTTTTCACTCCTATAGGATGAAATAATCAACAATAACTTTAAAATAAGTGAAAAGCTTAAAAATTTAAAAATGCTTAATAAGAACACATAGAACTGCATTAAATTCTAATAATATTTTCTTTCTAAGGAATTAAAACTACTTCCCTAGCGTCTACAGAGCTTGTTCACATAACATCTGCACAAAATAACTAACGGTTTCATAACAAATGAGCAACCATGTGAACCATAAAACAAAGACCCAATTAGTCAATCTTATTCTGTGAGAACAGTGGATTTAACTGATTTTAATAGGGTGAGACACTAGAACAGAAAAGTAGGAACCCAGTCATTAGACAGAGAGTTAAGAATTCTGAAATACACACTATTCAAGAGGTAGCAGTAAGTCTCCCCATACCAAATCTAGGCATCACAGAGGAGTGCGGACCCTTTCTGAGGATGTTTATCCTCCTGTCCTCCACTTCCCTTTGTGGCCACGACAACTTGTTTCATCAATCCCAGGCACCCGCTTTTCCATCAGAATTGCTGAGGCTGTGGTTCCTAGCTCTTGTTCCTTTCCTTAAAATTGTCATTTTAAAAGTGTGTGTCTGTGAGTGTCTGTGTCTCTGTGTGCTGGTGTTTGTCTGTCTCTGTGTATGTCTCTGTGTCTCCGTCTCTCTGTGCCCTGTGTCTCTGTGTGTTGGTGTTTGCCTGTCTTCTCTGCCTATGTCTGTGTGTCTCCGTCTCTCTTTGCCCTGTGTCTCTGTGTGTGTTGGTGTTTATCTGTCTCTGTCTATGTCTGTGTGTCTCCGTCTCTCTTTGCCCTGTGTCTCTGTGTGTGTTGGTGTTTGTCTGTCTCTGCCTATGTCTGTGTGTCTCCGTCTCTCTGTGCCCTGGTGTTTGTCTGTCTCTGTCTATGTCTGTGTGTCTCCGTCTCTCTGTGCCCTGTGTCTTTGTGTGCTGGTGTTTGTCTGTCTGTCTCTGTCTATGTCTGTGTGTCTCCGTCTCTCTGTGCCCTGTGTCTTTGTGTGCTGGTGTTTGTCTGTCTGTCTCTGTCTATGTCTCTGTGTCTCCATCTCTCTTTGCCCTGTGTCTCTGTGTGTGTTGGTGTTTATCTGTCTCTGTCTATGTCTGTGTGTCTCCGTCTCTCTGTGCCCTGTGTCTCTGTGTGTGTTGGTGTTTGCCTGTCTTCTCTGCCTATGTCTGTGTGTCTCTGTCTGTCTTTGCCCTGTGTCTCTGTGTGTACACATGCACTGCATCTCCCTGGACCTGGAGTTCCAGGTGGTTGTGAGCTACCCAGTACAGGTGCTGGGAACTGAATTACGGTCCTCTGCTAGAGCACATGTTCTTTATAATTTCACATACTTAGGAACTCTTGACATATGTTTACAATATTTAAATATGTTTAAAATCTCTTTTGATCCTCAAGCTATCTTACTACCCCTTTATCATCCTTGTGTGCATTTCCTGAGTATCCTTCGTTAAGTTAATATAGAGGGAAGACACCAACTTTGATGAAAACTGCTTTTTCTTTTGTTAGGGCCTAAGATGAGAGGTGTTAGAGATGCCACCTCAAACACCACTCATTTGATGCCACATGGTGCTCATGGCAGCTCCAAAGGAAGAGAGCATCTGATGGAAGAAGGGCTTTTCCTTCCTGTTTTAACCCATGGGAAAAGACAGTGAAGGGAAGCTTTGTTAACTGCTCCGTTTTCAGCTCCAGAACAGTACCCAGAGCTAAATACTTAAGATTTGAATAGCAGATGGAGGCATACTACTGAGGATAAATAAAAAACTCTTTTTATTGTTTGTGAGAAAGACTATTGCTATGATGCCCTGGCAGTCTGGGCTATCTTAAAGCTAGGCATTCTAGCCTGGCATTGAATATGTGACTGTCTTGTTGCCGAATTTGGCATGAAATCTCCAGTTTGTTAACTCAAACCCAGAAGAGGATTCCACAGAGTAGTAAGTTCTGCTCTAAGCGAGGTAAAAAAAACTGGTCAGAAAATGGCTGAATCATTTAGATGATGATGCCAACTTAAGTGAAAGGCGAAACAAAATAAAACATGTTTTTGATGGCCAGCAAAGTCTAACAGGGCAGTAGGGGTGACAAAGGAAACATAGATCAAAACAGACAATCTTCAGTGAGTTTTTAAATGTGTTTCTAGAAAGAATTGTCCTGCAGGCCCACAGTATCAGAAGCTGAGCCTTGTAAAGCTTTGCTCTAAATAAATCCATCATGGTGTTGCTGCATGGGGTACAGTGACCTACCAGAGTTGAATTTGAAACCTGCAGTATTAACTACCTCTTTCTGTGGCATGAACCACACCTTAAACACTACTCACTCATCATGCCAATTTCTGTGGGTCAAAAATCTGAACCCACCTTAGCTGAATGATTTTGCATGGGGTCTCTCATGAGGCAAGAGTCAACCTGTGGCTGCAGTTGAGTCATGGCTAACTTGGGGAGAATTCTCTTTCAAGGTCCTTCATGTGACTGTTGGCAGACCTCAGGTCCTTACTGGCCTCTTTCCAGAGGCACCAGGTCCTCCCCATGCCAGTCTCTCCACAGAGCAGCTTGTAGCACAGCAGCTGGTTTTCATCAGAGTGAGCAGGAATAGACAAGGGGGAGCCTGAGGTCTGCCAGCACTCTGTGGCCTTACCATGTCCCCATTGTCCCTCAGCAGCAGGCCTGATCCAATAGTGGAATGATCTTTTGAAAATTCAGTTATGATGCCTGCTAGGTGACAGCCCCTGGTGGAGCAGAAACAGTGTGTCCTCTAAGCCAGTGTTTAATAGACAGGCCCATTTACTTTTGATCTGGGAATGGAGAAACAGAAGTGGGACTCACCTCTCTAACTGATACCCCTGATGGTCTACTAATAAAACAGCGACTTCCCACTGCTATGACTCAGGCTTTTCTGTTCTAAGGTCTTGGTTCTATAAGAAGGAATATTTCATCAGTACCACATCAAGGATGCCACAGAAATGAAAATTGAAACCATCATCTTTCTATTTTGATTTTCTGGTACTCTTAAAACAGTGGGGAATGAATGCTGCTACTCTCTTGTCTGGATGACATGTCCTTATTCCAAGTGAAAACTGAGCTGATCTGACATGGTGGGTAAGGGAAAAGTTATCTGTGTTGTGTTTGAAAGAGAGTGGCCCCCACAGGCTCATGTATCTGAATACTTGATTCCCAATTGGTGGAACTGCTTGGGAAGGACTGGGAGCTGTGTCACTGGGGGTAGGCTTTGGAGTTTCAAAAGACTGACTGCCACCATTCCAGTCTCTCCTCTCCTCTCCTCTCCTCTCCTCTCCTCTCCTCTCCTCTCCTCTCCTCTCCTCTCCTCTCCTCTCCTCTCCTCTCCTCTCCTCTCCTCCTCTCCCCTCTTTTGCTCTCCCCCTCCCCTCCCCTCCCCTCCTCCTCTCCTCTCCTCTCCTCCCTCCCTCCTTCTCCCTCCCTCCCTCCCTCTCTCTCTCTCTCTCTGTTCCCCTCCCTCCCTCTCTACCTCCTACTTGAGTATCAAGATGTAAGATCTCAGCTGATTCTGCTGTAAGCCCCAAATAAACAATTTTCTTTTAGAAGGGTCTTGGTCATGGAGTTTTATCACAGGAATAGAAAATTAAGGTAATCAGCAATGTTGAAATTCTCTAGACCTCCTGTAGTACTGTTTCCCTTCCTTGCTTTCAGTAGGCAGAACAGGATTACCTTTATTATTTATTTCTCAATATCCTCAGAGCCACTCTAGCTCTGTTCATTCCAGCACTGTTTCTGTTGCCTAGAATGCCACCTTACACACCTTCCCACATCCAAATCCTACCTTACACACAAGTCCCCCTAAAACCTTTGCATGGAAGTAAGTTTTCTTTAGACTGTGTGACTGCCTGAAATACATGGGATTGGCACTCAGAGACAAATATCTGTCTGAGAGTCTATATGGCTTCAGAATTCTTGTCTTTTAGACACAGTCTCATCTCCCTAAAGCCCAAGAGAAACCATCTACATTATTCTTGAAGCGTTTTACCCGTTCATCTTCCTAAGTCTGTGGATAGCATTTTAAGCTACTTAAACAGGTTTGGTAGTATTTTAGACACATGTGATATGTTATGAATAATTTGAAACAGAATCTCACATCTCACCAGCATGCTTTGACACTTTGGAGCACACTCCCTCTTTCATCAAATACACACCTGCAGAGACTCGAGGACAGTCGGGCAGCATGGACTCCACCGATGTGTCCAATGGTTCTGAGCTGGAAACCCAGTTGCAACAGTTCTGCAATGGAACAGATACAATATTAAATAGGTAGAATTGAGAGGAAAACTACGTTTTTAGGTGGTTGAGGTAAGTCTGTCTTATAAGATACATCTCTAGAAGTGTGCTTATATTCTGTGGATTTTAAATGATTTTTCTTACATAAACAGTCATTAACTATTGATGACTGTGGAAAAATAATATGTTGATGATAAGACACATAACTTGTGAAGTATAATCTAACATATTTCTAAGAAAAGTTAGATGTGGAAGTGAAAGGAAGTAAGCCTCCAGTCCGGGCCATCCAATTTGATTTTCACTGTGACCCACATCAACGAGGGACATATTGAAATGACACAGAAATGCAGCCTGGTGAACTGTAGCCTTGTCTGAGGACACAAGACTGTAATATTAGTGCTCAGTCTCTAGGTAATGATGTGCAACTCAGATAGATGAAATAACACTCGATTTCTTTCATTAACTTACAAATATATCTAAATTCTGGTTTAAAAGATGTGATTATATAGTTTTAAAAATATTTACAACACAGAAACACAAACAAAGAATTTCCACAGACAGATTCTATTTTTTAAAAATCCTCCCATCAATCATGTTGGAAAAATTGGTGACTGCTATTCTGGTAAACAGTATGTATTGTGCATTTTAGACGCTTGCTGTCTTGGCTGTGCACCATGGAATCTGTTCTCACCGAGGAAGGGTCCTTGACTGGTAGATCAAGTGTCTTATTGTATTTCCTTAATTCATTCTGTCTGGAAGAAGATGTCAGCTGTGTTGCAGTGAGGAGAAAATTTCAAAGGCCCCAGTCCCCACCAATAAAGGCCTAGGAATGGCTTTTGAATAGATTTGTCAAGGCAACCCTACTGTTCTGGGACCAGAGAGAGCAGGGGTAACATAAAAGAAGGGTTTGCCGTATGAGATTACAGACAGAAGCTCACAAAGCATGGCAGATCTTTGTAAGAAACAGTGGATCAATGAAACTATTGAACTGTGTTGAAAAAAAAAAACCACGAAAACAAACACATCTAGTAATGTTCTTAAATGCTTTCACTCTTTTTATTTTTAAAACAGATAAAATATTAGTATTTTTCATGTATGACAAATGCTTGGTTTGAAAAGGATATATATATATATATGTATTCTATAGTGTGCACTCCTAATCTTAATTAGAAGCTGAATGTAAAATTATACAATGTAAGAGAAGTAGAAATTATAAAAGAAACATGATTTTAGAAGATATTTCATACATTTAAAATAAGCAAAATTAATATTACCATTGATAGAATACCACATCAGAGAATTCTAGATAATGCAGAAGATTAGCAGACAATTAGCCAGCTTTTATATACAATGTGACACTCGCTTGTAAGAAATAAGTGTTCTCCAAAGCAGTGTCAAGATATGTAAATGGGTGATTTGTTTTATCATTCATCACAGCCCTTAATAAATTCAAAAATCATGACTTCTATAGGCACTAAAAATAGGTTCCCAATGATACAGGGAGATAGCTTCAATGAAGAATGACTTTCTCTTTTTCTCCCCTTTTCTTAAACAATTCAGTCTTTTCAATGACAGCAATTAGCACCACCAACAGACAGGCAGCGATTAGGTATATATTTTAATTATTATTCATCCTACTAGTGCCTCTAAATCTGATGAACGTTGGCTATTACCCAGGTGACATGACAGTCTTAATACTGATCACCTGTACCTCACGCACGCAGAACTGTGCCTTCCACAATTTTCTAGTACTAATAAAAGTGATGGCACATTATAATCTGTCATTTTTCTAACTCATTTTGACACTTAAAAGCTGAACCAAATGAACTTTTTGTCCAAAAAAGAAAAAACCCAACAGATCACCTTTGGCTCACATACTGAAAGAGAAATACAGGCTACCATTTTATGATCCTGAAATTTTAGTTCCATCTCAGCAAATGTTGAAAACTTGTGTCTCTCCTGCAAAGTCAGGGACAAGCGAAGTGGCCTATGGTTTAAAGTAAACATGTCAAATGTCTTGTGCAACAAGTACCTACATAGGATTGGAAAGGATAGAAACCAAGTTTGAAGGGTGTGTGTGTGTGTGTGTGTGTGTGTGTGTGTGTGTGTGTGTGTGTGTGTGTAGGTTTCCCCAGAGGCCAGAAGATGGCACCAGATCTGTTAGATGGAGCTGGAACTATACCTAGTTTTGAGCTGCTTTTAATGGCTGAGCCATGTGGTGATATGCTATTTATGATTTATTAAAGTTTGCCTGATGATTCAGAAGGCAAAGCCTGCCTCAAGCTATAGAGATCAGGTAGTGGTGATACACACCTTTAATCCCAGGACTCAGAAGACAGGCAGATGGATCTCTGTTAATCCAAGGACACACTGACTACACAAAATTGGTTCAGTCCTAAAAGAAACAGCTCACACAAATGTGATCTCAGCACCTGGGATCATAGGCCTCTAATCTCAGCATTAGGGGAAAGGGTCGCAGAGCTGGCATTCAGTCTGAGAGTTGGTCTCTAGCCACACTGAGGAGAGCATAGCAGTCTGAGTGAATCTGAGGAGCAGTAAAGTTGGGAGCAGTCTGAGGATCGCCCCTTTGGCCTGAGCTGAGATAGAGGTAAGAGTTAGTAGCTGGGTGCTTTGCTTTCTGATCTTCAGGCAGGCTTTCGTAAATGATAAATAATATATCACCACGAGCCATCTCTCCATACCAGTACAGAGGTGCCGGTAGAGAGGGTCAACACAGGAATAGTTGGGTGCATGTGTGACTATGATCAAAATACACTTTGCTACATCAACAGTAATAAATTGTTATCTAAAAGACCAAAATTTGGCATGTTACAACTGAAAAGAAGATAACAGCTAACTCTGCGCAAGGTATTAGACAATCTTCCTTTACTAGTTGAGTCTCTGTTTTTACTCCTGTTTATTACACTTGCATGCACTGTAAATAATTATGGCTTTAAAGGCTAATCTTTAATATGGAGTTTTTGTGCCTCAGACATGAGTGTGTATCATTGACCAGGCTATGTTTCTAGGACTTTGTGGTGGTTTGAAACAAAATGGCCACCCAAAGGGGGCCTTACTCAAAGGGGAAAGTGTGTGGGGGTGGCTTTGAGGTCTCCTATGCTCAGTCTGCTCCCAATGTCACATACTACTTCCTGTGGGACTCTCAGCTCCTTCTCCAGCACCGGTCTGCCTACATGCTGCCATGTCCAGCCATGATGCTACTGGAATAAAGCTCTGAAACTGTAAGACTTCCAAATTAAATGTGTATTTATAACAGTTGCTGCGGTCATGGTGTCTCTTCACAGCAAAAGAAACCCTAAGACAGGCCTACACTCAGAGTCGAAGGGTGTCAGGGAGGGTACAGGATCATTAAGCAGAACGGTACTTCTAGTATGGTTGCAGACTTTCAGGTGAAGGGCATGCACACCCTCAGCATCAGCAGTATGAGGACCTCACATGAGAAGTGCCTTTAGGGGCCCCTTTCAGGCCCTCCTCATGGCTTAGCATCCACACGTGGACTTCCATCTGAGAAAGGTTTCAGTTTCAGGGATTGCTAAAGTAGTCCTCTTTAACCCTTCTTTAAGAGAAAATGATATTTTAAAAGTACATAATATATACACTTAATTTCTAGTCTGTTGTTTGCTAAATTCAAAGACAAAATATTTAAGAGCTTTATAGTAAAAATGCTTAATATAGATCACTACCACATTAATTCGTTGCTTATGAAATAAAAATCACCACAATTTATCAGTCTTTACTGTAATAGGAATGACTAAGCCAGCACTGTTTAATTCCAAATTTAAGCCAGTATTTGATGAAATAATGAAGCTAATCAACAAGGTAACACCGAGGCGCCCTCTTCTACAGCTAGAAGTCTTTATTAGGAGTAAGGATATTTTCCAAATATTTTAACCTTTCTGTGTACAGGTTTACGGGAGACAATGTGTCTGTGTGTATATGCTTGTTTCTGTTTCTGTGTCTGTATGTGCCTGTACACATATGTGTGTGTATGTGTGTGTGTGTCTGCATGCATGCCTGTGTATGAGTGCGTGTGCAAATGTGTGTGTGTATGTTTCCATGCATGTGTTTGGGTGTGTACATTCATGTGTGTGTATGTGTATGTATGTGCATGCAAGCATGCATGTGTGTGTGCATGCATACATGCATGCATGGGTGTATACATGTGTGCATGTATATGTGAGTATCTGTCACTTAGACTGACTTTCATGAAGAACTTCTAATAGAAAGAGATATGGATTTTAGACATAGATCTGGGGAGTGCCAGCCTACAATCCTATGGCCAGAGAGTCTGGGAAACAGAAACTACATTTAGTGGCTGGTTAAGTACTGAGCTGAACTCAAGAAAGCCAGTATCAGAGAGGGAGGACTGATGATCAAAGGGATTAAGACTGGGCTGGTTTAACCCCCAGAAACAGCTGACCAGACAAAGGTTAACTCTAGAATCCCAGGCATCAGCCTGGGAATCCAGCATGGGACTGATCAAGACCCCCTGAATCTGGGTGTCAGTGAGGAGGCCTAGGTAATCTATTGAGCCTTGGGCAGCAGATCAGTACCCATACCAAGTATACACACAGACTTTGGACTCCCATAGAACAATGTGAGGTGCACTCTCACCCTGAACTCTTGGGAAAGGGTCTAGGCCCTGCCCTATATGAAATGACAGACTATGGACACCCCCATGGAGGGCCTCACCCTCCCTGGGGGAATGAGGGATAACGGGGGGGGATGCGGGGAGGGCACGGGAGGAGGGGAGGGAAAGGGAGAGGGACCTCGTACTGACTTGTGAAGCAACCTTGTTTCTTATCTAAATTTAAAATGGAAAATAAAAAATATTAATAAAAAAAAAAGAAGATACACGGAACTAAAAAAAAATAAAAAAAAATAAAAAAAAACCTCAAAAAAAAAAAAAAGAAAGAGATGCACTGGAGTAAGCACTACAGCTGAGAGATTACTGATGTATATGATCATCACTGATGTATATGACCATCACTGACGCATATAACAATCACTGATGTATATGATCATTACTGATTTCTTGTGACATCAGCAAAATAAACAGATATAGAAAGGAATTTTCAGTGGGATGTCTGTAATGCGATCAGTGGACTGAATAAGAAACCGAAGATTTTGAAAAGATATGCACATGTTTAGTAGATCCTTGTTAGGGTTGAGACTAAGCAGGGCCATGCAATAAAGCAGCTGGTCTAGATGGAGGAGGGTCATAGCCAGCTCCAGCGTCTCTAGTAATAAAGCAGCCAGTCTAGATGGAGGAGGGTCATAGCCAGCTCCAGCGTCTCTAGTAATAAAGCAGCCGGTCTAGATGGAGGAGGGTCATAGCCAGCTCCAGTGTCTCTAGTAATAAAGCAGCCGGTCTAGATGGAGGAGGGTCATAGCCAGCTCCAGCGTCTCTAGTAATCTCCACTCAGCTCTTCACTGCTTCTACCCTGCTGGCAGTATTGAGGCAATCCATCTCATCATGGCACATCCTGATCCTGTTCCCGGGCGAAAGGACAAGTGTAGATGTACACAAAACGTATTTTGGGTAACTAAGCAGCTGTAGCACTAAATAGTCAGAAAAATTAAACAGAGGGAATATGAATCATGACGTCAAGCCCTTCTGCACTCAATATCCTAATGTATACTGTAAACATACATAACATTCTGTTCAGCAGATGCTTTCAATAAGTTTTGTTCTTCTGGAAATCTTCTTTCATTATTTCCCCTGTATCTAGACCTTTGTTCTGTCTCAGTGTCCTCTGTCTAGAGAATCCAGGGTGGAGGCGATAGAAGCTGGAGGGGACTCCAGACACAAAGGCTCATCTCCGTTTCTCTCAGCGCTGAACACAACCAGGCCTCACCTCTCTCATCCATTCTCGGATGGTTTTGCCAGCTTCTTGATGCCACACATTGTGAACGGAGTCTGTCAATGCCACAGCAGTCACCTTACTTTTTACATCTGCTTCTCGTTGAATCATCTGTTTAAAAAAAGAAAAACAAACATAAAAATAAACATAGACTAAATTTTTTTCCCTGATCAGCCTGCTTAGTCATAGAAAATACTATATTAAAAATGAAAAAAAAAAAAGACATGCATCCTTGGCTCAAAGTTACTCTTTTCTATTTGAATACATATCCCATTCTTGTTCACGGATATGAAAAGGCCAACATTTTCTTTCAAAAAGCTAATACCACTTAAGTCTTGGAACGACACAGCTCTATTATTTTCCATGTGGCTTGACAATTCAAGGATTAAAGGGATCACAGGGAATCCCTGAGGGTTTCTTTTATAAATTCTTCCATCACTTCCTATTTCAGGGGAGTCAGCACCTGGGGCTCACTTTTAGCTCTTCGGACTGTCTTCTACTCGTTTTCAGGCGGTGGCACGCTGGTGGAGAAAGGTGTTTTGCTTTAGTTCTCCAGTGGAGCCAGCTGCTCTTTACCATGGCCCTGACATTCCTTGGAGAGTTCACTGCTCCCCCTCCCCAAAGCAAACTATTCTCCTATTCGCTTTCAGTCTGTTGATCCCATGTTGCTTTCTGATATACTTTTTTTTATGTTGGCGAACTATTACATTTTAACTTCCTGTACACAATGCTATATTTATGAAATTTACCACCTTCTGAAAAGAAGGCCTTTGCTGGGCTTGAAGATACTGATTACTTCACTAGTGGCCAGCCAGATAAGAAAATGGAAAAGGAAAAATTGTCTATCAAATGAAGCAAAAGCTATTTTAACCTGTGAATACTGGACACCCGGGTGTGGCATATCAAAATTTAAGAAAACATAACGAAAATTAAAGCCCATGTTCCATCACAATGTGGTACTTTCCATTGGCGACCCTACACTGGAAAAAAAGGGCAGTTTTTGTTTCTCCACCATTTGCCGTTAATTCCTATGAACTGTCTGTCCATCAAAAACATAATAGTGTAAGCAACAAAAGGGAGAACTGTGCATGGCAAAGCAGGCTCCTGTGGAGAACGCTGTAAGACACAAGTCCAAACAGACAAGGCTCTCCCGTATTCTGAGCTGAGCATCTGAAAATCAGTTTCCCCTTTCAGACTCAATTCTGCATTTTCATACCTATTATTGAAAACTACCTAAAAGCAGCTAACACACTGTTAATGTTTCCTCTGAAGCATTTTTGCACCTAAAACTCTTGTATTTTTGTGTGCCTATATTTACTACAGCAAGGAGATATTAAGATTAATATTGATATGCAATATAATAGACTTACAGAAAAATACAGTGTCTTAAAGGCTTAAATCATACAATAATCCAGTTAAATACTTCATTAATAGTTACTAACAAGTGTGCTAGCTTCTTTACATTATGTTTTTACTGGATCACTATTGGCACTAGAATATAAAACAATATATCAGCATCAGGTAATTAAAGAAAATCACAACAGTGAATCCATCTAAGGAAGAAATTTTATGTCATTTCTCTCATTTACTAAACATGAAAACATAGATAGCTAAAGCAATTGATAAGGTTACAATTTAAGAACACCCTTTGCTGATACTCTTAAATTTTTGACATGAGTTTTATTGTGGTTGTTGCTACCACATGCAGATTTACTTAAGGTAGTATCTGAAGACACTAAATCTTGGACAGCCATTTGTTAAATGAAATAAAATTAAGCAACGAACAGACTAAGGACTTAGTGCAAATACTACATATCTGGGGAATAAAACTGTGAAATCTGGCATGATGCAGTTGCTAGATGAATGAATAGAAAACACCCACCAAGCGGACATTTGCACACTTGATGGGCTTATGTGCAACTTTGCTTCACATGATATCCTAGTCCAAAATGATAGAGGCACATAGTTCTGTAAAAACTTTGCAGTTCAAAAATCAAATTGATATTCACATTTAGAAATGTAGAATGGCCAAATTCCTGAAGATCTTAAAGAGAAATTTACATACGAACCTTATGTCAAAGATTCTCAAATACTTGATTTTTCTTTTTTGAGACAGGGTTTCTCTGTGTATAGCCCTGGCTGTCCTGTAACTCACTCTGTAGACCAGGTTGGCCTCAAACTCACAGAGAATCACCTGCCTCTGCCTCCCAAGTGCTGGGATTAGAGATGTGTGCCACCACGGCCTGATTCTTTAGCTGGTGGTGAAATCAGTGAAAAATTTTAATTTTCAGTCTATTTACTTCTGTTTCAACATGGCTGCAACCAAATTCATCAGTGTGGCTGCCAGTTCTGTCCAAAGACAGCACTGGTGCACGCTGCCTGGTGTTAGTCTCCACCCTCTTCACACCTCAGCATTGCATGGGCACTGGGAAAACACTGGACAAGGTGGGAGTGACTCTCTAGGAGACCAGATCAGACGTGTGTAAGAGACACACCTTAGAGAGAATACAGAAAACAAAGAGTGGTACAGGACAGCTGGACAGCAAGTCATACATTATCATTTATAGCACAGCCATGTGTGAGTAACTCCAAAATCTGAAAAGCAAACAGACAGATCACTCACGTTAGCCATGCCTATCTCATATGGAAATACTGCTATTTAATTGAAGTCCATACACACATAGACTGTAAATTTATGTTAATATGAGTACTTTTCTGGGAAGTGGTCCCTAGCTTTCATGGGAATCTCAATGGGACTGTTAGTGTCTAAAAATGGCATGGCCTTGTAATCTCAGTCTCCACATATTCTTGAGTGAACTATGGGATACTTACTAAGTCATTCCCTTAGAAAATCACACTTAAAATCCAGTTGACATCTATAACCAGTTGTTCAGAAAGAAACAATGCTATCTCATTTCAGTTTGTATCAACTTCACACCATGGAAGTGCTAAAGATTTTGATATCCCATATGGTTAACATCCTAAAGTTCCATAGCTTAATAAGTTATGCACTGCCATGTTCTCACAAAGCTCCAGAGAGTCACCTAACAGGGGATCAAAGAAGCAAAGGCATGACAGACACACGTACGGTGAGAAGCTGCAAAGGCATGACAGACACACGTACGGTGAGAAGCTGCAAAGGCATGACAGACACACGTACGGTGAGAAGCTGCAAAGGCATGACAGACACACGTACGGTGAGAAGCTGCAAAGGCATGACAGACACACGTACGGTGAGAAGCTGCAAAGGCATGACAGACACACGTACGGTGAGAAGCTGCAAAGGCATGACAGACACACGTACGGTGAGAAGCTGCAAAGGCATGACAGACACACGTACGGTGAGAAGCTGAACCATGGAGGCAGGCTTAGCTAACCTTGGCAGGGGCAGTCTATGGTGGGTCACAGTCTTCAGGCCATAAATATCTGGGGAGAAAAGGCTACAGTGGAATTCTATGCATACACTAGCAACATTTTCACTGCCCCGCTATGCTACCTGCAGCGAGCAGGCTTTACTGATTTCCGATAGGTCTGAGGAGCATGCCAACAACACACATCTATTCAGAAGTTCACACACTCAGGGCTTCCTCTACTCCCTTCAATGAATGGTAAGTTGCAATCAATATTTACATGTGTATAATTTTTAAAAATCATTCAATAAATTTTAAAGAAAATAATATATTCATTACTATGGATTGTTAATTTATTTCCCATTTTAGCCATAAATAATACTTAAGTTTACAATAAAGTGATGAGGAAACAGCCTGAGACCTGTTAAGAAAATGGTCACACCTTGACCCAAGCTGCTGCAGAAGGACATTTCTGGGTATGTGGCCCCGTTACAGCTGAGGTCTGTGTGGATGTCTGTGGCCGGTGTCACCTCAGGAGTTCCTAGGAACCATATGAGATGAAATCAGAGGGTCATGCTGAGCTGGCCACACCCTTTGCTGGTCCTGGGGAACCTGGCCTTACCTCTCATGAACACTACAGTAAGAGAGCTGACCCCTGCACTGGGGAGAGAAGACCAGGGTGAACTGAACCTGAGAGCATGAGTGTGCGGGAGCCAGAGGTGAGAGGCCCCAGGGGCCCAGGCTGACCAGCTTGGCTACTATCCAGGCCCACAGCAAGACCTTGGGTTGACCCACACTAGCATCTACCCCACTTAAGGATCTGCTGGAACTGGTGAAGGGACTGGTCCCACTGATGGTGGCATATCAGAAAGCAGAGGCTTTGAACCAGACCAGCGACTCATTACAACGAACATTTGCTAGTAAAACTGAAGGGACAAGGAGGTGTACTACATGACACACGTAATCGCCATTGCCACCAGGACAAAGGAAAAGGACTTAGAGAGGCAGGAGAAGCAAAGAGATTTTTCTGTTGTGGTTTTTGTTTTGTTTTGGTTATGGTTTTGTTTGTTTATTTTTGTCTTTGCTTTGCTCACTTTGTTTCCTTATGGTAGGTCGTGGCAGGGATGAGGGAAGTGTATGGGGGGGGCAGGGAGGTGAATGGAATTGGGGTGCATGATGTGAAACTCAAAGAGTCGATGAAGAAGCTACAAAAAATTAAATATTAAAAAAATGGTAACACAACTCACAGATCAAGAAAACTGTGGCCTGATTGCAGATGTATGTGCTGCTGGTGAGCATATATCTCACACATATGCATATATGTCATAAACAAACACCTGCTTAACTTCAATAGCATTTGAGTAAAAAAATAATTAAAAACAAAAAGTTCAAATCAGTAAGGAATGCTGAAAAACTAATAACAGCAAATAAAAAGATGCCAAGCTAGGAACCAGTTATGATCAAAACTTCAAAATAGAGAGTGCTTAAAATTTTATTCACAGTTCTGAACTACATAATGTATAGGTTAGAAAGAAATTATATTTATGAATTAAATTGATGTTAGCATGTAAGGTATTTTACAATATCACTTGATTTTCCTCTTATTTATTCTACCCGGTGATCTCCTCATATTTCTTTCAGTTTAGGCTCATAAATTAATCTATGGTTACTTTCACTATTTTGCATGTCCCTAGTGTAGCAAAAATTTAATCGACTCAATAACAAGTACTTTCAACAGGTCAAAAACATATGCCACCTGTA